CAGAACGACGTCCAGAATATTGACACCATGAGTGGGAGATGGTAACCGTTTGCTCAAGACCGAATGATTTAGCAAAAGTGAGGAAAGAGAGGGTCGACGGAGTGGAGACATTTCCTCTATGGGTCATACTGCCCCGTCAATCAATGGAAAGTTAAAATCCCCAAGAATAATAAAATTACCACTGAACCCATCCAAAAGGTCGTGAAGAAAACTATTAATTCTGAGAGGGTCACGGGAGAGAATGATGGGCTACGGTAGGCAAGGACTAACATAAACTTGTCATCATAAAAATCAAACTAGCACAAAGTTTGTATTGACTTCCCGAAGTCTTTCTTGATTAGGAAGTTGTGTGGAACATCTTATGAATGAGGGCCAAAACCCCACCACCAACTCTACTGCTCTCGCGATCGCAGCGATATACCTCATACCTAGAGTCGTAACTTAAAGTGGCATCATGTATCGAGTTGGGCTTGCACCAGCTTTCAGTAACAAACACAGCTCGAGGCATCTGCCGAAGTAGGAAATATAGACCAGGAATCTTATTTACAAACGTGCATTGAATAATAGGTTTGATCTGATCTCCCAGCGGGTCACCACAGGGGAATTGTCAACAGGACCCCTTGGGGCATGGGGGGAGGGTGGGTCGTGTTTCAGAGGCTGGGAGGAAGTTTGACCAGTGTCCTTGACAGGTAGATCACGAGGGTTCCTTCAGCTTGTGAACGCTAAGGTCACGTACAACGTAGGCCAGCTTACCTTCTTCTCTGTTCATTAAGCCAACCTTCTTGCGCAGGAAAACGGTCATACTCTAGCTCTTCTCTTGTGTAATCTGTCCTGGCGTATGAATGCACGAAATCCTTGGTCATGATAGCCTGCCAGCTCTCATGTGGTTTAATAGTCTATCCGGAATTCCTGTGTCCCTAAACAAATTTTTATAATACGAGGTTAGGATATAGCTGATTTGGTGTTTCTTTCCAGGATATCTATGAAAAACTACAATACCCACCCGAAATGTTCGAAAAAAAAACGAAAAAACGCCAATTCGCGTTTTTTTCGTTTTTTCGCTATAACTCGATTCCTGTTTATCCTACTTATAGAGAGCCCTATACCGTTGAATTCAGCTCGTCACGCTCTATACGATGCTGCTTTCAAAACCTATGAAACTTCAATTTTGATGACCTCAACCTAGCAAAATACCTGAGGCGACTCGTTAGCGAGCGAGTCTCGCGGTAATTATAACCACAGGGTATTTTCGAAAGATTCAACGATCCAGTTGTTACTTCCACAGATCAGAAAGTATTGAAATGCACACAGCTGCGCTATTCGGACGGTGCGCATTCTTTTGGTACCGATTTCCTTAAAAACGGAGGAGTTTCATATGAATGTGTTTTTTGAAGACTATCGTTTGCTTCAATTCAGAAAATTGAACAAAACGAACTCTGTTTGAAAATTCGGTCACAGAACTCACAACACAGATATCGTTTATGTGCAAGCTCTTTATAATTTCAGAAATTCGAGTGCAGATAGGAAATGCAGCGCATTATCAGTCATCAAAAATCGCATAAATCGTGGTGATTTCAGTCGGTGAACACGCATTTTTTTTTCAGGGTTTTAGTAGATTCATGGCACAACAATTTTGTACAGATATCCACAAGGACGTGATGCCACACAGAAACTGTATGTTTTCAACATTCGCGAGACAAAACTGGACCACTTTCAGCGTGTCGTTTCTGGCGGCTATCAAGTCTGCGGTCTGCTTGCGCGCGCAAAATCGCATTTATTTTTTGCCATAATGAAGCTAATCATTCGGAAGTTATATCGTGATGCTTCTAAAGATAATAGAATACTTCTTCAACGTTTTCCATTTTACTTTTGCTTTTTATACACGCATATCCGGCTCGTCCGCCGACAGCCAGCTCGACTTTCTAATCTAAGCTTACCTCGACCATACATGGTGTAGCAGGTTATCGATCGATCTAAATTAGCACATTGATCTAAGTGTGCTGCACTGGCCGTTTTCTAAGTGAATTGTCGCGCTATTGAATGCGTATGGAGTCTACATGCATGACTGAAATTGTGGCAGCTGGTCAATTTTCGTGAAAAAAAATGTCATGCCTCAGCTACTCGATGCCCCTGGGACTCGAATAATGGAGATGACTTTGCAACTGAATTTTTTTGAGACTGTAGTCCTCTGTTCTTTTGGTATTTCTACATTATCCGTCATTGATATTTCACTTCACTCTAGCTGGCGGACTCGGTCAGGGCCTTAAATATCGGCGAAGCATTGACCGCCAGCCTTGGCGGACCCCGCAGTAATTACAGGAGCTTCCTCGAACGTAGGCGAAACCCTTGCAGTACCCGAAACCGTGACCGCGAATGTTTTACAATTTCATTTGAATCCTACAGTAACAAAGAAACACTATAACAGCTTCAAGCATCATATGAAGATGAAAACTCATCCTAAAATAAAACAAATGCAAATATTCATCACTGCATTTCAAAAATCTGTTCTGAAGGAGAGTTGTCACTGTATTCGTACACCTCTTCCCTTCGCGGAGGTGTAGTCAATATTCTGTCCGGGAACGGCGAGAGGCGTCGGTGGTTTGCTGGTGGTGGATTTGTAGCGCGAGCCCGTGATGTTCGAGCTCTACTATTTAGAGCATTTTTTACTGTTTGCCAAACGCTGTTCTTGGCAGTTTGAGAGAAGTTTAAGTATTTCGAAAACGGCCTGAAAGGGGTCTTTATGTATATGGCGTATGCGTGTTCTTCCAGGAAGCAGTAGAAATCACCTCTCTAATAAAAGTTACCCTTCATTCAGACAGCTTTCGGTCTTCTACGTCGAGGAGAAGCTCTGAAGGGTCATCCTCATAAAGTTCTTGTTCCAGCGCTAAAGCAACTTTGTTAGTCTTCCACACTTCAGAGATAGCAATGTTTCGACTTGCTCTCGGGGAAGCAGCGAGTAGTCTGTTCCATCTTCTGAATTACATTCAATAATTTCAAAGACCAAGTCTATTTGGAGGGAGCGAAATGACCACCTGCGGGTGCGCATTCTTGCTTCAATTTTATCTCTTCGACTGCTGACTCAAACCGCTTATTCTCCGTTCTAAACGGAAAAACGATCCCTGCATCCTCACTTCCAACTCACGTAAGGCGCCTGCTGTAGATCGTCTCATCAGCATCATCTGTTCTAGCATTTCATCCATTCCTGCCTTCATGCGATCCAGAGCTTCAAGCACCGGATCTGAATCCATGGTTTGGCAGCACCTTTATCCTGCTCGGTGACACTGCTAACTCTAACAGTAAAAAAGCACTCCGCTAACGTCCCTTCGTCACATCCTTGATCTTCTCTTCACACTGTGCCTTCGTGCCGATGAAAACGATCTTAAAGAGGGCATGCAGAAACATATTGGAGGCTCTCCGTATAATTAGATATCGCCACATACCTTAGCGTAGGCTTTTTTATTTCAGCGGACTTTCGATATACGGTCAACGACGTGGTTGCCGGACACGGCTGTCAGTGACACAATGTCAGCAGTCTTCGAGGAAGGTGAAGAAAACAATAGCGTGCGTAGACTTGGTCATGATCACTGAACTAAGATTATCTGCCAGCCATTTATACGGCGTGCACTGTCCCCCTAGGAGCCGTGCGCCGCGTTTGAGTCCTGAGGTTATTGTCTGGCCCTTGCCCTAATTGTTAGCGCCTTCACTCGAGGCTGCATAGGCGTGACCATCACTGAAAAAACGAAAAGTAACATGAAAACCCGTGAAAAGTTTTTGTATCAATAAGTAGCATTTTTCATGAGGAATACAACGCCATAAGTTTCAATGATAGCTTTCATTTACAAAATGCGATTTCGCCGTCAAGAGAGACCCCGACTTTGACAGCCGCTGAAAACGAGCACTCTAAAAGTGGTCCCAGTTCA